AGATGGAATTCGGAGGAGGCCTAATCTGTGGGAGGATAGGTATTACGTGGGTGAACCGAGGTGTAGCCACGATCGCTCGCGCGGCTGCATTCTGGACAAGCTGAAGTCTCCGAATGCTCTTCAAGGGCTGCCCCATGTAGAGCACGTTGAAATTGTAGTTATGTTGAAATAAAAAAAATATTACAATACTATTTTTGCGTTGTATGAAAATTTTTGTTGCTCCGTATAACATTTTTAATCAAGCCCCCCCCCCCCCTCAAATGTGTCCCTCTTTACCAATCTGAGAATCTGGTCACCTTAAATACTGCTTCAGCTTATCTAGCCTCCTCCATCACTCATCGCTCTTATCGATTCTCTAGTCGCAAAAATTCCCTCCCCCCGCCGCCCCCATTATAGTCGGCTGCAGAGGGGGACGAGGGAAGGATGGAGCAACCCTAGGTCAGTTTCTTCAAAAGCGAGCAAAGGATTCAAGTCACGCCTGCTTGGAATCGAGTAACGCGTCTGGTGATTTTATTTATTTATTTGACTTGTATGCCGCCCTATTCCCGGAAGACTCGGGCACATCCGTACAATTTTGGGAAATAATGTAAAAAAAAAAGGGTTTTGCTAGTAAGGCCTTCTCCCAAATGGCTGACTTCTGCTTCTCACTACTCACTGTTTAATATGTTTGGGATTTTAAAAATGACTTTCCAGTCTGGTGTTCTCGGATAGTTTTTCAGATAAATTCTAATTATGGCCATCACTGCTTAATTCTTGGAATAATCGGGTCCAAGCATTATTGCAAGTTTCCCAAAGCGAAAAAAAATCTGCCAGTGAAGTTTTTTTCTTCTTCTTTTACATCACTCACCCACCGACACAATTATTGAGAACCGGAAGTTTCCCTGGTAGTGAATCTCTCTCATTTTATGGAGTGGTTAAAGAGACCCAAACACCCATTCTCAGCCCGGGAAGTGCGAGCTGCAAACAAAAGAACTGTCCTCTAAGACTTCCTCATAGCGCGCTGCAAACGCCAATGAGAGTGAAGAGTTTGCTTGCACTTGCGTAGTTGCTGCGCCGCCCTCCATCTCCCAGGCTGTCACGCAGGCGCAGCCTGGTAGGTTGTTAGCAGGTGGAAGAGTGGGGTGAACTCTGCGTGGATGTGACATTCGGGACGAGGTTGTTTCTATCTGGTGGGTGCACGTGTCCGTAAGGAGAGTGTCTGCCTAAGATTCCGGTGCTTTGTTTGGGTTGTCGGGCAGTGACGATCTTTGTTCCGTGTCAGTAATGGAGAACAGTCCTTAGTTGTTTTCTTATATTTGAGAAGCAAATAAATGTTGGCATAGGTCGAAAGTCGTCTGGAATTTAATATAGCGTTGCTCGTAAGATTGATTTTGCAATGGGTTCTCATATCTCGTGTTAACTCACAATGAGTTTGCTCATTGTATCAAGGTAAACCTTTATGGTTTACCTTGATAGGTGAATTCAGTTGCTTGTGGGTTCGCACAGTCAGTATGTAGAAATCTTCTGCATATTTCTCTCCAAAGTAGAATTAAGCTATAATGAATGATAGACCGTAACATTTATTTAAACTGAAATATTTTAGGATTAATTCATTCAGCAGTGAAAAAGCAGTGTTTTCCTTATACTCTTTAAAGGAACGCTCAAATCCTATTTCCCCCCCAACTCATTAGAATTGCAGTGTTGACATCCAGGTTAGAAAAAAATGTGTGCCAATATATAAAAGTTCTCTTTCTATAACTGAATGTTCAGTTGTACATTTTTTTTTAAATGTGTGTATTTAGGTCTAAGGCTATATAACTAAGTTTCAAGTAATCTAGTTTTATGTTTGAAGTTTAGTTATTAAATTTTACACTCTCAATGTATTCTGTAATATAACATTGTTATGTTATTTACATATTACCTTTTCAACATTCATCATAATATCTGTTCAAATATATATTCCATTATTTTAGTGAATGTCTTCTAAATAAGTCTTTTAGACCACAATATTTTCTGATAGGGAAAGATTTTTGTTTACTGTGCCTTTATATACAGAGTAATTTTGCTTCCTTAGAGAAATTTAATTATTAAAAAACAGTATCTCAACATTATGTTGTTTTTACATTTAGTTTATATTTCTGAGGTCTTCTAGATATATGACTGCAACTATGCTGCAGATGTCCTAGATAACATGGTCAAGCAGTATTGCTGGCTGTAAATCCTGCAGTTTGTAGCCTGTGAATCTGGAAAGTATCAGACTGTAGACCATTCATTCTAAAAACATAGTAGTATGCATGTGGAGCATAATCACAGTGAACCATACTGACAAAGTACTGAAAATAATGGTTAGGTGGCTAATTTTTCAATAAAAGATTCAAATGAACAGGGATAGTAACATACAATATTTTTAACAGAAGATGTTGATGATCTTATATGTAGGTAATAATATAGAGTTGTCTCAAAGGTACTTTTTCAAAAGGCAACTGGACTTTATTTTCCCTTGAAGACGTTTCACTTCTCATCCAAGAAGCTTCTTCAGTTCTTCAGCTTCTTGGATGAGAAGTGAAACGTCTTCAAGGAAAAACTAAGTCCAGTTGCCTTTTGAAAAAACACCTTTGGGACAACCATGACCTGAACGACTGAGACTCCCCATAGACAAATATAGTATTGTATTATTTTCTTCTTTCTTAGCCCTGTTACAAACAAAATTTCAATTAATTAGTCTTAAATATTAACATTTTAGAAATCCACATTGTTTGAAAAACTTGCCAGCTGATTTTAAGGATTTCAAATCCAAGGATTATGGTTTGACAAAAAAGACTAAAAGCAATTAAAAATGGAGACTTAGGCTACAAAGAATCTTCCAGTGTTCATCTTATGACTGAAGCAGAACTAGAGAGGCTGGGACTAAAATCTACTCTTAAGTCATGAAAATTCAGATTAATCTCTCTCTATTTCACAAAGTTCTTATGATGGTAGAATTAAGGGAGAAAATGTGAAAAAATATGTTTTTCTTTTGTTATTAGGCTCTTTAAAAACAGGCTTTTCTGGCTCGAAACAAAATGAATAAATCAACACTGCTGCGGTTTCCTCTCTACCAGCTTCTTAAGAACGTTAGGAAGCCTTCTTGGAGAAACTTCTGCTGGAAATCTAGCAGTGGCTTTACTTTTCCATATGGACAGCGAGTTAATTCCCCACAATCCTTTTTTTCATGGGGGAGGATGTTTTCAAAAGGGGTGAGATCTGGACTGGAGTGTCCAGCAGCAGCAGAACAGCAAACACCTGAGCTCTCTGCCAAGGAGCAAAGACTTCTGAGCAAGTTGTACACTGGACTGATCCAAGGACACAGGGCCTGTCTGGCGGAAGCCATTACACTCATAGAATCAACCCATAAGAGGAAAAAAGAAGTTGCTCAAGTTCTTCTTCAGAAGGTATTATCCCACCACCGAGAACAAGAACAGTTAAATAAAGGAAAGCCACTAGCCTTTAGAGTGGGTCAGTTCTTCCTTGTTTGTGCAGTTATTGCTATTCTGATTCAAAGCATTCTTATTTGCCTATAACAGTTTATTTAACTCCAAAGTTTACAAAGTTGATTATTATATGATGTAAGCTTGATACTATTGAATTGTTCAATGTCTGCATTGTGAAATTTGCCTCTGGTAGCTAGGTAGAATGTCATCTCAAGACATCATACTTTCAAATGCTTCTAAAATTGCTCCCTCTGAACTGTCTTCTTTCTCTGAAAGGAAGTCTGTGTAGGAGCTGCTGAGCTTACTGCTGGTTGGTTTCCTTTAACTCCAGAAAACTGTGTTAACATTTCTATAAAACGTGCTTGTATAATATGTTTCTAGATAGAGGGGAGGGGGAATCGTGGCAGGTTTATTTTGCAAATGTGACTCCTTGAATTCAATCTGTGAATTCAATTTTTATTTGTGGGATGGATTAGTTCTTAACTCCTGCTTTGCCATCTCGGGTGCCCTTCCACACCTGGCAGAAAATTAACAAACAACAATGCAGCAATGTTACTCTTTATTTTCAAGATATGAAGAAATCTAAATGAGTGGAGTATCCAGTAATGAAAAATCTAAAACCCTGAAAGGAAGAATGAAAGGCTAGTCCCTTTTCCTCTGGTGGCTTCATTGCCTCTCAGCCCTTGACGCATAATAATAACAACAACTCCCTTTTGATGACCCTGTAGTCCCTATTCAGGGTAGTCGGCCTACACGAAGGATGCCGGATGTACATAAATTGACAAACTATAAATACATGTGTAACTTTGAAGAAAGTGTTTTGCTTAGAACAGACCATGGAATATTGGTAGCAAATACGTTGCTTACCTACCTGAAATGTATCAGCCTGCTCATTATTTTTATGAAATCAAATAGATATTGATGTTGTTGCCGTTTAGGATTATCTGGCCCCCCTGGTGCTGGAAAATCAACATTCATTGAATGTTTTGGGAAAATGCTGACTGAAAGAAGACACAAAGTATCTGTCTTGGCAGTGGATCCTTCTTCTAGTACTACTGGTGGTGAGTGTGTTTGCAAAAGCATTATCTGTCTTTCATTCTTTTTATAATGAATATGGAATTTATTATATAGGCAGTATGTATTTAATGGAGTATTTTTTAACCAAATCAAATAGTTTTATTCTTTTTATTGAAAATATAATTATATTTTAAGTTTATTTTAAAAGCTCAGTGGAAGTGTCTTCGCTGAAGATAGATACAAGATTCTATTATACTGGCTACTATTATCAATAAAGAAACATTATGAAATGAATTGCATTAAGTTCTCTTGTGAAATTACATGATTGTCTGATAAAGTTCGTTCTAACTGTATTAATTAGGATAAGGTGGTGGAAAAATTTAGTAGATATGTTTTCTGTATTAGTGAAAACATCTTAAATACTTCTTGTCCAAGAACTTTCCATCTGCAAGGGATTTCCACAACAAGCTGCAAAAATAGAAAATGTGTATTGTGGCAGCAGAAGACAAGCTCTACCCTTTTGTACTTGTGTTGGAAGTACATTGGTCATGAAGGGAGTACGGAAGAGAGGGAGGTTAAATTACAGATAGCCAAATGATAGCTTAGTTGTTTTGGAATAATAAGACTCTCTTGTCTTGGGCAGAAGCCTGTTTTATTTGAATGGCTGGTCTTTCCTTTTGTGTAATGCTTAAGGCTCCCTCTTGGGTGATAAAACACGAATGACTGAGTTGTCAAGAGATCTGAATGCTTACATCAGACCATCTCCAACCAGAGGAACATTGGGCGGAGTAACACGGACTACAAATGAAGCCATTTTGCTGTGTGAAGGAGGAGGTTATGATATTGTTCTTGTTGAAACAGTAGGTGAGTTAAATTCCTTGTCAGTTTTAGCTATCATGCTTTGTAGCTCAAGGTGGGTAACCCATAGGTCAGTGTTTCTCAACCTTGGGGACTTTAAGTCCTGTGGACCTCAACTCCCAGAATTCCCCAGCCAGCTACGCTTCCCCAGCCAGCTACGAATTCTGGGAGTTGAAGTTCACAGGACTTAAAGTCTCCAAGGTTGAGAAACACTGCCATAGGTAGTATGTATTCCTTCAACGATTTCTGTGGCCACCATAGTCCTCCAAATTACACCATAAAAATTCAGCAAACGAAATAGATTTTTTAAAATGCTGCATTCTTTTATGAAAAAAACCACATAAAATGTTCTTGTTGAAGTTCTACCTTTTCCGCACCGCATGTGCCGTATGCGCCACCATAGTTCACACAGCAAATCTATCATGACATTATGTGACACGTTTGTGTGGATGTGTTTCAACTGGCTTGTAACAACCCAGTGCTGTTTAGAGCTTATTGGGAGTGACTGGCCCAAGATCACCAACTGGTTTCTGTGCCTGAAGAAGGACTTGAATCTGGGTGGCCCACTTTTTGTCCAGTACGTTAACCATCACAAAATATTGGCTGCCTTAAGGAGAGGGAGGGCGACTAATGTACATGGAATAATTATTAGGTTAGTTTATCTGGCTTTTTAATGTAATAACTACAGGATAAAAATATAGGTGTCAGTCCTGCAGTTATATCCCTTTTAGGATCTTTGGCTTGCCACACTCTCTCTTATTTCATTATGCTGTTTCATTAGGGTAGTAGTTGGGAGGGGGGAATAGAACGGAGGAAAATTGGGATAATGTCAGCGTTCCAAGTATCATGCAGAATTAAATCAGAGTCCAAGGCAAAACAATTCTTAAAGTTCCAATATAACAAGTCAGACATTTTAGCACATCTGTGAAATCCCAATTCTGGAAGTTACACCAGCTTCCCACCCAGTTCATGATCTTGTCCCCACACCCACAAATCCATCACATGGTCCAATCTTCTTCTTCCACGCTGGCATCTCCACCCAGCTGGTTCTGGTCATATGCAGAGGTACGGAGACGACAGATGACCGTGGGCTTCTAGAAAAGAATGACAACAACATATTCCACAATTTTACTCCTTTCTATTCCCCGCTCCCAATTACTATACTAATGAAACAGCATAATGAAGTAAGAGATAGTGTGGCAGGCCAAAGATCCTAAAAGGGATATAACTGCAAGCCTGACAATAGGCCCTTGACCAGTATTCCTGCAGCCCTCAAAGCTGCACAAATAGAAGTGTGGCCAAAAATACGACCCATCTCTGCTGAAGTAGTTGAACAAGAAGGTGCTGAAGCTTCTTGTGGAATTCAAATCGGCAACTCTAGAGTAATATGCCATTAGAAAAAGGCACAAAGTACCAGTAGTCTTTCATCAGCCCTCAGGGTATTATTCAATCTTCATGCAGATCTCTTCAGGGAGAGGATCTCTACATTTACAATTTAAATTTTGATCCTGAACAATCTACTTCTGTTCTTCATTCTCAGGAGTGGGTCAGTCAGAGTTTGCAGTTGCCGATATGGTGGATATGTTTGTATTGCTGCTGCCACCAGCAGGAGGTGATGAGTTACAGGTACTGATGTTGCATTCCATGAAAATTTAAGTTAAACAAAACCTTATCCCAGGTTTAGTCAACCTTAACAACTTTTAAGTCATGTCGACTTCAAGTCTCAGAATTTCCCAGCATGCTAGCTGGGGAATTCTGGGAGTTGAAGTCCACATGTCTTAAAGTTACCAAGGTTGAGAAATCCTGCTTTAACCTGTAAGAGCTATTTGCTACTCGCTCATATCAAGCTGGTCTACCAGAAATGATAAGCAAAATATAGCGGTCAGTTCTACCAATCTTTGCTATTGTAGTTTTAAATGAGGGTTTTGTCTTTTTCACTATTGTACATTCCCCAGGGGAATACAACTTTCAGTGGACAATTGTTCATTATTTATAATAATAATTTTGTTTGCTTTTTAATACTCCTTAGATGCCCTGAAAACAGTTCATCTAATAATAAGTGGTGCTTTTATATGTTTAATGCTTGGTTTTACATAATTTAATTTTAATTATTCAATTTAAATGTTGCCTAACTCCAAGCAACTCTAGGTGGCACACAGTGTAACAATAATAAAATACAATATAGGTAATCAGAAAGAAAGTAAAAAATAAAACAAAAAAATAAAACAGAATAAAAACAAAAATAAAAAGGTCTACAGTAGCAGTGTGCTATTAAATACAGTATTTAGCATATTAAACAGATAGTTCTGAATAGTTTTTTGTACCTCATTTTTTTTAATGTATTGCCTGACACCTGATTAAATAGATAATCTAAAATATTTGAAATAAATATACCACATGAGGATTAGCAGCACTAATTCTGATTTTTAGAAATGCATCTGAGTTATTTAAACACATGACAAAAGTTTTATCTATATTAAGTTCTGGTACAGTTTTTCTTTTCAAATCTTTTAAATGCAAATATGCTCTATGTTTTTTATATATTAGATAATTTGCATTTCCCCTCCAGAAGGTAATTGTTAAAAATTAGTTTCTTTTTAAACTCTATATAAAAATGAAGAGTTCCTTTTAAAAGTTATTTAGTTTCATTTGGTTATTAAGTCTCATTTTTATTTTTTCAGGGTATCAAGCGAGGTATCATTGAAATGGCAGATCTTGTTGTTATAACCAAAGCAGATGGAGACCTCATTGTGCCAGCACGGAGGATTCAAGCAGAATATATTAGTGCTTTAAAATTGCTTCATAAACGCTCAAAAGTTTGGAGACCAAAGGTTAGTATATTCAAATAGTTTAGGGAAAATATAAAGAATATGTAAATAATTGCCACAAGTATTTATATTTGTCTTTTGATAATATTTATCAAGTGTGATGATTAGTGCACTATATTTCTCCCCCAGAGTAATTTGTATTAAAACACAAACACTATTTGACCTACGTGAAATTAATTATTTTACTATTTTATGTTTAAGAGAAGTGCTAAGAAGTGGGACATACATCTGCATATAAAAGCTTTTCTCCTGGGAATATAATTAATCTGTATACTTCCAAAGCTACTGTTTTCTCTTAATACAAAAGATTATCTAACTCTCCTAGTGTTAATATTCTAGTATCATATCCAATTAAGTTGAACCTACTGAATGATGTCTTTTTTTCAAAGTATTTTAACAGCAAAATTAACTTTTATATTAAATTCATATGTCATTCCGCAAAATTATAAAACATACACATATAAAACTATAAAATAGGCAAGCTTAAAATCAGAAGCAATAACAGACCATTCAAACAAAGGAACAATGTCAGTTTTACAAAGTCAGATTAAACGATGGGAATATATCATCTGAACTTCAAGGATTTTGTTAGCTAGTAACTTATAGTGCAGTTTTAGACATGCCTACTAAAATGAATCTCATACATATTTGTTTATTAGATTTTTATCCCACCTTTTTTACTTTATAAGTAACTTGAGGCAGCAAACATACATAATTTCCCTTCCTTTTCCTACTTAGTTGGATAAATTCAAAAGAAGGCAAATATAAAAAATTGTAGTTAAGAGACAGTAATTATATAGCCCAAGTGGGGCTTACCTTGAAAAATCAACATCTTGAATTAAACCTGATTATAAATTGATAAACTCTGTAGACGTACCAGTACATGTATCCATTATTCTATTAACATTATATAGTTTAAATGTGTTTTTAGAGGTGGCAATGTCTTTTGAAGCTGAAGCATTTCAAATTCAGTGTGTCCTGTTTCCATTTGAAAATGGCTTCCTTAAACACTTCCGAACAGCCCATTTTAATTTAAAATAACTGGTTTGAATTCCAAACTCAGAACAAAGTTTTCAATTCTACAATTCAATTCTAAACGTTTTGCACAGGGCTGATATTTTGTGGTGGTCTATTATTGTTAGTATTTCATTCTGTGGCCTGGGTGAAATTTTTAATAGATAATTGCCCCTTGAAAGATAGCGTTAATTTGGATCAGGGAAATTTTCTCCGCCTGTTCTCCAAAGGTGATTAGCATTGCTTGGTAAGTAGAGTTATCTTCTTGATCTAATAGGTAATGCGCATCTCTGCCAAAACCGGAGAAGGCATTTCGGATGTATGGGATAAGATGACAGAATTCCAAGAGCTCATGCTTAGAAGTGGTGAGTTGCTTGCCAAACGCAGGAGGCAGCAAAAAGTGTGGATGTGGAATGTAATCCAAGAAAGCATGCTGGACCATTTCCGGCAACACTCAGAAGTGAAGGATCAAATTCCTCTCCTGGAAGACAAGGTTGTTGATGGGATCCTAACTCCTGGGCTTGCTGCAGACCTCCTGCTCAGGGCTTTTAAAGAGAAACCCTGATTCTTTTCTGTACATGGCCTGATGATATGAAATAAATGATATAAATGTATATAGCATTTTAAAAAAAAATGTCTGAGCTGTGAACTTCTTTATTATTAAATTTCTACCTGTACATTTCCAGCAATGCCTGCCTTGATTTGCAAACAATGATTAACAATAATAACTCACGATATTAGAATGGCTATTGTTGCCCGATATAAAATGCCAGCTTATAAAAACAAGCTTTCAAATTGCCCTGGGAAGTGGCATAAAGGCAAAGGCCATTAATCAGAGAGAGAATTTGATAGCATTGCAGCTGCCACAGGTTAAATCCTGGATCCAGCTGATTTTTGTTGGGCCTCCTTCCTGACCATCATCCCATAGAGCTTAGCTCAGGAGAGGTGTCAAACTGGTGGCCCATGGCCGGATGCGTAATGCCCAGGCCTTAAAGGGAAAAAATATGACGACAATGTGACACTGGGAGTTTGACACACATGCCTCAGTTGATGAGCAGAGCTCCTTATTTGTCATGTAGGATAGGTAGACAAGTCCTGAATTGTGTGGGGTTTTCTGTGGAGAAGAGCTTGTAGCCCATGGTGTCACTGGCTTCAATAAGGAATACCTCTCAAAATCCTGACCTCTGCATCCTGTATTTACTACAGCTTCCAACTTCCTTTCAGAGGCTTCCCATATAAGGCACATTATGTGGGAAGTAACAGTTGGGTCAGCACTATTCAAGAAGCAATGAAAGTAATAAATTTGCTTCAGCTGGTAGAAGGCATCCCTCACCATCGCAGTCACCTGTTGTTTTCTGTCCCTGAATTAGCTTACCTAAACTGATAACAATTTATTGTTTTAGAAATATTTATCTTTTAGTATTTTAATGTTTTCATGCTGTAAGCTACCCAGAGTTGTTTCGATACAAGATAGGCAGCAAATAAATAAATAAAATAAAATGAATCTATACAAGGCCAGCATATTTAGGGACATGTATAGGAAGGGGCAGTGATTCAAATAATTTAACAACCGGTTGGTTCTCTGCCCTAATGATTTCTTCCAACAACCAGTTCACCAAACTGCTCAGAAAGTTAACAACTGGCTCACCCATGTGGTGTGAACTGGCTGAATCCCACCACTGGGAATGGGGTAATTACAGTGTGCTAGTGCGAAAATGAGGAATTGCAGTTTCAGTTTCTATTTAATCTGCAGAGAACTCTAGCAATATATTAAGATGCATTGCATGCGGAATTGAACTGACTTGTATATGAGTCCTTGACTAATTTTATTTCTACAGCATCACTAAATTACTGGAAGTTAAAGATGGTTGAAATCTTTCCCTATGCAACATTAAAAAAAATTGCAATTGCCACATTATTGTACAACTGAATTAGACCAAGAATATCTTAGTCATGACATATAAGTTGTAAGTTGTACATCTAAGTTGATGAAGCATAATTATCTATGCATCACCGTGGTATGGATCTATGGAGTTGCGCATATGCTTTATACATATGTTTGTCATGTTAAACTCTGTATGCAGAATGACTTCTGACTGTGAAAGCATGCATTTTATTTGACATTGAGGTCTCCATCGTCTGCAAGAATTCAAAGAAGAGATCACACAGACCATGATAGGTTTAACAACAGAAATTATAAATGTGATCAGATTATATAAGATATATATGTGCTGGTCCTCATTCTTATAATCCTATTGCAGGCTATGTGTAATATATTTGAAATACTAGTGGATAAGTTTCAAAACAGTAATTGAAGCTAATTTAAAACCAAACCTAATGATACAAATATATGGAAAATCATCCACAGAGTTATCAGGGACACTTTAAATCTCACAACACTGTTGTCGCTACTTCTGAATTGTATTTAGTAGATTCTACAATCTGATTTTTCGGTACAAATTTAGCAGCTTGAGAGAACTACCACACTTTGGCAGCAGTATTGTTACTCTTATTGCTCTTATTAGGAAGTTTCTCCCTGTATATCTAATCTACACTGCTCCTTTGTAATGAATTCCTTCCTGTAATACAAGTTGAGTGCCCTTTAATATGCATAGCCCTTCTGCATATTGCTTCCTTTCTCTGTATTGCTGCCATCTACTCAGCTGTTCTTTCTAAAGGGTTATGTAGTAAATAGATATTTCTCCTGCTTTGCATGTTTTTATGCATTTAATATGCTTTGCTAAAATAATACTTAGCTAAATAAAATTAAATAGAATACATTTTCAGATTTAAAAAGTGATACAAATATTGCTTGGGAATGTTTCATTTTTAATTTTAAAATAATGTTAGGGCAATTTTATTGCTGATCATTCTCTTTTACATAGAAGTAATAGAATCAAGTAATTAGAATAAGGGGACACATTGGCTCAGTGGCTAAGCCATTGAGCTTATCGATCAGAAAGGTTCAAATCCCTACCGTCATGTAATGGAGTGAGCTCCCATTACTTGTCCCAGCTTCTGCCAACCTAGCAGTTCGAAAGCATGTAAAAATGTAAGTAGAAAAATAGGGACCACCTTGATGGAACGTTAACAATATTCCGTGTGCCTTCGGCCACATGACCACAGAATTGTCATCAGACAGTGCTGGCTCTTCGGCTTAGAAACAGAGATGAGCACCCCTGCCTAGAGTTGGGAACAACTAGCATGTATGTAAGAGGGGAACCTTTACCTTTACCTTAATAGAATCAAGGACATTTCAAAAGTTATAATCAGATGGCCTTCTTTTGATGCCTTCAAGTCATTGTTGACTCCTGTTGACTGCCTGATGAAGTCTCTGCAGTTTCTTTGCAAGATTTCAGAAGTGGTTTGCCACTGCCTTTTTGCTAGGCTGAGAGAAAGTGACTGACATAAATTTACACAGCTGGCTTTGTGCCTAAGGTAGGATTAGAACTCACAGTCTACCGGTTTTTAGCCTGATGTCTTAACCATTACACCAAAATTGGGTCTCAGCCAAATAATATATCCTGCTAAAAAGCAGCCCTAAATATGGGGAGGGGGAAAAATGAAACTAGAAAGGATAGTACAGGTAGTCTTCAATTTAGCCCAATTGAGTCCAAAATTTCTGTTGCTAAGCGAAACATTTGTTAAGTGAATTTTGCCTCATTTTACTACCTTTCTTGCGACAAGTTTGAAAAATGGTCATAAGTTATTGTAAAGTTACACTGCCATTGTAACTTTGAACCATCACTAAATTAACTGTTGTAAGTCGAGGACTACCTCAGGAGGGGCAGAAATCTAGAACTCATGTTGTAGAAGGTCTCCACTTTCTTGGCATCCAGTGGATCAAATGCTAAATGATTTTTCAGGATGTCATTCCAGTCACCAGATTCTGCCCAGAAGATGCCAAGCTCAAGTGCATATGAGTGATTTATCTTTGAAATGGTTCTGAACAAGTCCGAGCACGCTCCAGGAATGTGTAAGGATGGGTCATCTTTAACAAGCACATCACAGCCACAATTTTGGCAGAGAAGTACTGGTGTTTTTCTGCCCTTACTGTCACAGTGTACGGCTCACTTGGATGTATAAATTACCATGTTTGATCCTCATTTTTTCCTATTTTTGTAGTAAGATAATGTTGTTCATAATGTTTATTGGATTTTGATTGTATATGATGTATGGCTCAAGAAATCGTATATTTATAAATCTTCATGCATTATATGAATTCATCTACTTGTGGTTTATTCAACAAACAATTCAAGTGTAGCTTGATGCAATGTATGAACTAGGAAAATGGAACAGTGACAACTCCAAATGAACTAACAGTTCCATGTATATTAACATGAAAAGTTAGAGTAAAATTGAACTTTTCTAGAGTACACTGATTAAATCTCAAAGCCCTATTTAACATGGTGGGACTTAAACGTAAGGTAACAGGCAAAATATGACTAGCCTTTTAACTTGCCCTGCCCTTTTGCCTTTTATGCTATTCACAATGCTTGTGATCTGTCACGTTGTTGCTTAGCAACGTTTATGAACAAGGACAAGGCTATGCTTTCCCCTTTCCTTCCTCTTTGTAGGGTTTTGTAGACCAGGCCATAAGAGGCTATTGGCAGGAGTGTGGAAAGAGGTGTTTAAGACTTACTATTGACTTTGAACAAAAACTTTTCATGGCCAAGTATCTGTTCTGGGCACCCAGGTTGCCTGTGCCATAGAGCCCTCTTTCTCCTGAAACTTTTGAAGAGATCAAATGTCTTGCGAGCAAAACCTGGACACAACACACCCAGGAATATGAGCGGAGCTCCACTTCCTTTGCTGCTGCTTTTGGAAATAAAAGATTGGATGCTGTTACACGGGGTTGGGTCCCTCCCCTCCTCTCCTACCAGCGTACACAAACATCATCCACCAGAGTAAGTTAGCAACGGTATTATTAATAAGCAAACGGGTGTCTGTGTAGATTGGTATATGCGTGTGAGAGAGATTAGTCTAAAAGTAGGAACTGATAACTTGTTACTGAAACCACTCAAGAGTCACTGGGAGTCAGGTAGCGCAATCAGACAGATGTTTAGAAAGGGATTTGGCCTTTTTACCCACCTATTGAATCATTTCCAAGTCCTGGGAATAGACAGATATTGTTTGATGGTGTTAAAGGTATTGCTGCAGGGTGTCAACCAGGGGTGCCAAACTGGCGACCCACGGGCCGGATGTGTCACATGCAATCCTGGCTCCGCAAAGGCAAAAAAATCACAATATGTCACATGACGTGATGGAGTTTGACACCCTTGAAGTAAAGCTGCCTTTTGTAAATGACTACTCATGATTCTACCAGTGCCGATGGTGTTCAAGTGATGTTCCAGGCGCTTTAGGATTGCACCCAAGGTGCCTATCACTATTGATACTCTCTTCACTTTCTTTTGCCACCGACATTCTGTTTGCAGATCTATTTTGTAATTTTCTCCAGTTCTTTCTCTCCTATTTTGCTGTCTCCAGGTACTTCCATGTCTGTTGTCAAGATTTTTTGTCTTTCTTACTGAAAATTATTAAGTCTGGTATGTTGCATGGCAGGTGCTTGTCTGTTTGAAATGTTGTTATATTGCATTGTGTTGTGTTGTATTAATATATTTACTGTATTATAATG